GTTTCGTTCAGCACATAATTCAGCTGGCCCAAGGATGGATATTGTGTTACTAGAAGATTCGAAGCAGACTGGGTTCCTTGCCCAGAGCATAGAGGAATATGCTGAAGCCATTATTGAAGTCATTAAGATGCCAGAGAATGAGAGGCTGGAGATAGCTGCTGCTGCGAGGAAGCGAGCCTCCATGTTCTCAGAGCAAAGGTTTTATGAAGATTTTAAGGCTGCTGTGCGACCAATCTTTTGTGATGGTACCAAATGATTACAAAATCTTTGTTTCCATAAATACAAGAGATGAATTTTGTTGCAACATACTTAAACTTTGTCCTATCTTGTCTTTTTCTGGTTTTCCTTTTTCTTATAAATTTTACTTTAGATTGTATTTATACTTTGTCAGTAACTTAGCCTTGAAGTTACTAATTACAGGAAAAAAGTTTGCCTCTGATTTGGCAGTTAGAATAAAAGAGATGGTCCTCCTTTCTTTAGGTTTAGCTAAAGTAGATAGTCATATATACTGGCACAGCGGGGCGTTACAGATGAAGGGAATAATATTTATGGGTCTAATGTCTGTCTGGCGAAAAAAAATTCAATTCTATCTTTAATTCATGTTGAATTTTGTGCAGCTACGTATTTTCTTAGGAGCTGTAAATTTTTCAATCAGTTTTGCTGTGATGTTCATGCATTAAGCATATCCGAGAATTCGTTTTCATTTTTATTTATTGTTGGGAAGGTGGGGAGGAGGGGGATTTATTTATTAAAAGAAAGAATGATATGTTTTTGGAAGAATTTGGTCTAACATGTTTTTCTTGGACAGTTTCCTTGGCAATAACTGGAGTTACTTGACAATAATAAAAGATGGGTGTTGCCCAAAAAATGGATTATACATACTTCTCATATAGTTTTTCAGTGAATAAATGAAATTAACGGTGGAAATTATATATGTCTGACAAGGAAAAAAGTTTATCATAGTGAATAAATAAAAGCTTCTAACACTTCTGAATTTAATTTTCATTTACATGTAAAATTTTAAGTTTGACCCCACGGTGTGGGGTAATACTGGGTATGTTGTTATTGACTTATTGTTGTAAAATTTTAAGTTTAATATCTTAATTTCCATATACACTTTTAGAAATGACTTTCTTTTCTGAGACCAAAAATAAAAAAGGAAAACAGTAGCTTATGTATTTGTTGGTTGGTTTTATGTTCATGGGAAACAGTAAGATCATAGAAATTCAGATCCCATTAGGAAAAATATAGTGGAGGATAATATCGGGGCCCCCATGTGCACCATACATTTTGCAAGTGAAGAAGAAGCAGTGTTCCAAGTGCACCAGTGCTGATTACACTGTTCCTCAGCGACCGTTAATTTCTGCAGTCTCCACTGTCCAGCACTTTTCATGGTAGGGTCTTCAACTCCTCATTGGAGGAACCAGAATAAGGGAGGAGACAGTAGCTGTTTCCAAGTCTTTGGGGGCTTTCAGCAACAGTATGCTTCTTTCTTTCCCTCTCTTTTCTTGTATAACCAATTCTTGCTTTACACTTTTAATATCCCATTGTTGATATAATTCTAGACATGGTAGAAATTTACATGCTGCTATACACGAAAAGATTGCTCAACTTTGTCCTCCGTGAGGCATTGTGGTCTGAACTGGTAGTTTACTACGCTCTCTCTCTCTCTCCCACACAAATAAATACAATGGAGCTCCGACTGGATACTCTTTACACATTGAAAATGTGTAGAGGAAAGCCCAAACTTTAGTTCATCTCCCACTTATCTCTACTCTAGTTCTAGATTTGTGGCAAGTATTCAATTTCTCTTGGATCACAGATAAAAGGGGTTGTAGTTGGGCGGGCTTAATTTTGAAGCACTCTTCAATTCCTTCCACTCCTGTCATAGGAAGTAAATTGCCACCGGAAGAGTACCTTTTTTTTGATGAAGTAAAAGATATTATAAAAAGCATCAAGAAGATGCAAAAGAGCACTGTCCAGGTGCTAATACAAAAGATGATATGTTAGCTCTGTACAGATGGTCCTATGCTAGTGTTAGGGAGCTAACAAAATCCAAAAATAATTCGGGGGAGCTAATAGGGGAGAGGTTACTCCAGCTATATAACAAAACTATACAATTAGCCATCAAGGAGTAATTTGGAGTTGCTAAATCCTCAAAACATCTTCTATTCCTTTCTGTCCAAATAGCCCAAAAAATACATCCAGGAATCATTTTCCAGATCCTGCTGATGGATTTACCAACTTTCCATAGACTCCAGCTACTATAAGCATCTTTAATACTCTCTGGCATCACCCAGTTGAATCCTAAAACTGAAGGGAAAATATTCCAGATGTCTGTAGCAACTGGGCAATGCAAAAATAGATGTCTGTTTGTTTGAAAATCCTGCCGGCACATATAGCATCTATTAACTATGGGAATGCTCCTTTTGCAAAGATTATCTTGAGTGAGACACGCTTCCTTCAATGCAGTCCAGCTATGACATATAACTTTGGGGGGTAATTTTGTTTTCCAGATGAGCTTCCAAGGCCAACTGCCCACAGGCAAATAAAGAGTACCTCAGGATACAGCTGCGCAGTTCTCTCCGTTTAGTACTCGAATCAACCAATTGAGTTCTCCGGCCAAAGGCAAATATCTCTATGTACTAGCCTCTGTTGTAAGAGATGCTGCCAGATGGGTACATTTTCAGGGTGTTTGATACACAAACAACTTTCAGTGTCCACAATTTTCAACTTTTGAGTAATGCTTAAGTCTATCTAGAATAGCAAGCCAAAGAATGAATCCATCCTTCAAATGCGTATTGCGAAACAAAGCACTGTAGTCCAAGTTAGAGGTCTCTGCTTTATGGCATTATTGATGGTAAATGAACCGTTAGAAGCTCCACCAAAGTTGACTAGTTGAGCATTTTTTTTGATTCTGGTTGGTTAATGCTGCCCATACTCCACAGTCAAATCGGTTATTTTAGAGTCAAATATGACTGTTGCAGCAATTAGGAGAGAAAACCTCGTGCCATGGTCCTAAAGAATGCGAAGAATTATACCATACAGAAATATCACAATCATGTGCAATTTGATAATGAATAAAAAGTCTAGTACTCTAGTTGCAGGATTTAACACCATGAGCAATTATGAGGATCTGAGACTGCCTGTAAATTCTTATTTCTAAGTTAACACTGAAAATGCACCCATTAATTGCACTAAGAATCCTTTTCAGAAATATTCCAAATTTGATTAAGAATAGCAGTATTATTGGAACAGTTGTGAGATAGCTCTGATAACCTGCTTCTGTTTAGGCAATATGAAGAGCCTAAACCAATGTGTAGATACCAAACAAAACAAGCTTACCATCTTTAGTCACTCTGGATTCCGTATTTGATCAAGTTCGTATTCTACCTAAGGTTTTCTCTGCAAGCTTTTGGCAATGTTTGATCCAACTCGGAAGAGATAAGTGGGGTGCCTAATATTCGACAGGAACAATGTGCCTCTTGAAACCCACCAATTGGTGTCGTTGTTTTTTCCATCTTTTGGACTCTTCCACCTTGTCAGCACATTATTTTCTGAAACCATACAAAAGTCATAAGATTTGGCAATAATTATCACTCAAAAGACATGACAAGTGCAAGTAAAGTCCAGAATAAATTGGTAAAAATCCAACTTATCAGAGTCTTGCTGGACTTCTGGATATTGTCCTTCCTTATGGAACAACTCTTTTTTCTTGTTCTTATTTTGGTCTTATACTAGGACAAATGTTTAGAATATGAAGTCTATACGACATAACTATAATGCAAACGTCCCTGGATTGATGTTTTTCTTGTCTTGTGCTTGATATAAAGCCGATATACAAACTAGAAACCGCCCCCCCCCCCCCCC